TCGATATAATTGGGCAAACGATAAAAGTAATTAATTCTATAATGGAATATAAAATTTTACAAGGAAATATTTTTTGTTGGAAAATAAATGCAAATATAGTTTTTATAGTTATCGCGCATAACAAAAAGACTGGAAATCGATTCGACAAAGTGGTAACTCATGTACTCGAGAAGTTATGATAAATTATGCACGATGAATATTTTTAATAATTTGTGTTTCCTTTTTTCCTTCGCGAAACTGCCAGTAATTTTGCATGTATCACAATTAAGCACCGAATATTCTAAAATCAAGCTTTTCAAACTTTTATGAATCTACTTTCGAAACGATCGTTTTTTATGATCCAATTGTAATGTATTTTGGAACGAAAAAAGGATTTGGATAAAGAAATATTTCTTGATACTTTTACATTTACATCGAATACATTTAATCAATTAAATGAAGAATGTATGTGAAGGAAAGATTTAATTTATCATTTTTCCCGATCATCCCGATATTTAACGTTAAAATTAATATTTCATCCACCAATAATTTACGATCGACACTTTGGGAATCTTTGATGTAAATTACTGTCTTATCATATTTTAATATTTAATGCAAACCAACCATCAAAATCAACTCGCAACTCATCGGTAAGTCGGGCATCTCCTTTGAGAATTATTTAATACATTAATCTTTTTTCCTTTTTTTTTTTGTCGATATAATCTTTGACACATTTCACTGAATTATTACTCGCATTATTCCAATTAAAATTATTATTTTTCGCAAGCAATTTATATTACATTTTTATCGTTAAAAGCAAGATCGTTCAACGATCATAGGATTATTATCAGAGCTGCCATTAGCTCGCATTGATTCCTCCAGGCCGGCAAAAATCATTCTTTCCAATAATACGCGTACACACATACGTACACGCACGCACAACTATGCACACGTAAGAATCACGCGTACAAACGCGTCGCCTCGATCTCAGCCGGCATAAAGAAGTTAATTATCGCGACGTTTAATTATGTATTTATTTTTAGAATCCTTTGTCGAGCCACGAGTCCTTTACTGAGAAAAGAGTTACGCCGATTCCCAGTAACCCTTCCCCCTTCGTCCATTGCTAGCTGACTGCTAATGAATTTTCACCTTTTTTCGCCTTATTTGCTCATTAGTGCCTTACCCTTGCCTCGTCTCCCCCTTTTTTCTCCCCCACAGTCGCCCTGCTATTCCTCCACGCTACGAGTCGTCCACCTTCCTCCATCTTTCCTCCCCCGCCAAGCTTAATCCACCGTGGAAGGAGCTCTTCTCTTGCACGAGAACGGAATCCGCATACACACACGCGTCGCTCTTTTTAGAAATTCCGTTTCGAAAAACTCGATTCGAAGATAAAGTATTTGTTTAATCGAAGATATCGATTGTCTATTTGTATCGGTCGATTCGATTCGATTCGATTGGTTGGATCGATAAAATTTTTGGGTTGGTTTAAAATAATTTTTTAGAAAAAAACGTTCCATGTTATAAATTAAATTTGTCGTATGTATTCATAATGTATTCAAGTGTCGTCAAATGATACGATGAACTTTAATTACAATGCGCATCGTACAAGGAAAAAGAAGATTCGTTGATGATGATAGTAATTAATGATTTGTTTGTTCTCGCCCGTGAAACATTGCATTTTCATTTCGTCGACTATGATGAATATAACATAAGAATGTATAATGAAATTTTATATATTTTATATTAATTTAACTTCATCTTATGTAAAGTTAAGTTATATATTAATTCTTTATTCAAGAAATTTGCTAATCTACAATCAATCACGCAAAAATCTTCGTATATCTTGCGGAGATTTAATTAACGAATCGTGTTATCATATTTTGCGATGAAGAGCATAATGAATTATATGTATATGGAGCAATTTTTCTTTTTTTTTCTTTTTTTTTTTTTTTTTTAGTAAAAATTAACACTCTCCTTTGTTCTTTTAAATATTATATTAAATATTCTTTCATAATGATGTGAGATAGAAGGAAGAAATTTAAATATGTATATAAATATATATAATAAAGATAAAAAAAAATATTTCTAGGCAAAATTATTTAAAAGAGATTTTATCTAAAAGAAGCATAATTTTTTGCCGCGAAAAAAGGAGTATGTATAATTAATTACACGCATCCATAATAAACTTTCATAAAAATCGAAATATTCTTACAAGAATTAATTTACAAAGAATGTTAATAACTGACTATGTACTTTGATTGACCACGGTTGAAAGTCGGTTAATAGTCAGAATGCAATTAAGAAATTACACGCTGCTCGAATAGAATCGTAGGAAAAATCGTTAATAACAAAGTCATCGTACGGAAAATAGAATCGTGTCCCGTCAAAGACAGAAGGACCGAGATCTATCGATTACAATGCGTGAACGGTAACGATGGAACAGCGGCCATTGGATGGCGGACACAGCCATTCGTGCACCATTCGTAAGAAAGCGATTCGAGTCGTTTAAAAGGTTGCGCAAAAAATTAATTGAATCGCTAGGAAAAAGATCGCCGCGAAAACGTTCAATCTCTGGTGACCTTACACGCTGCCCACTCATTACGCTTCTCCATTACGCTTTTTTCCCCTCCCGGTAATATCAACCGTCCCACTTTCAACCGACCCTTCGATCCTCATTACCAAGAATCCATTCGAGTTTCTTCGCGTGAATTAGAGTATCGAGTCCATTTGGGAGTAAAACTCTCACGAAAGTCTCACTGCTTTCTTCTACATTGAGTGTATATTATATTTCGTCCATTTCGCAAAAAAAAAAGAAAAAAAAAATATCCTCCTCTCTCCCGATAGTTCTCCTCTCAAATGGATTTTCACCCTACAACACTCACGCACGATACGAAAGCAAAAAAAAAAAAAAAAAAAAGAAAGGAAAGGTGAAAACAAAGGGGAAAAACAAAAAAAAAAAATTAGAGACAACGAAGGTGGAAATAATCGAGGCTCCACGAGGTTCCCACGTAACGGCCTCGTTAACCGGCCGATCGCGGGTCGAAGATGCGTTTTTAATGATTCTCGAAAGTTGGCGGCTCGCGGCTTCCCTCGATTCCATAAGTCGCGGCCGTCGCTTTTAACGAGGGAGTTGCGTACTGGTAGCGTGACGAGCTGGTACCGGTGAGGAAGGGGGCAAAAGGTGGGACGGCGGGAAGGGGGACGCGGAGGACGGTGGTGGGGCGAGCGAGCGAGCGAACGAGCAAGGAGAAGGAGAAGGTGGGGAGATGGTGCTTTGCAGAGAGTACGACATTATTAACAGTCTCTCGTTATTTATTCCTCGTTAATCCCATGCATTTATTACGCGGCTTCGTACTACTCTGCTTTCTCTCTAAGTATTCGTATTCGGGCCCTATCCTCCCCTCCTCCTCTCCTTCTCCTCTCATCGGCCACGACCGATTCTCCTACGGCCGCTGCTCCTCTCCCCTCCTCTTTTCAACGTTACCGCGCGCCATCGAGAAAGCATAATTACTCGGCCCGGTTGAGATACGCTTTCTCGCATGACCCACACGGTAAGCTCGGAGCTGTAATGAACGGTTGGGAACTACGACTTCTAATGGCCGAATGAAAGCATGGACGATGGTGTAGGAAGAGAAAGAGAGAGAGAGAGAGAGAGAGAGAAGAGAGAGTTCTCTCCTTCTGGCGTTTCTAGCTTAAAGGTAATTTATTATCGATCGCGTTTGTAATCGCGTGTTAGCCTTCGTTGTGTTTGTGTCGTCTTGCTCGCCTCCTCTCTCTCTCTCTCTCTCTGTCCGTCTTTCTCCCTGCTTCTCTCTTTCTCTCTCTCTTGCGCGCGCGCGGGCTGACCCCTCCGGGCGAGCGCGATGAACGCGCTTAATTAGTGTGCTTAATTAATAATTCCAACGGCTGGGCCACTCCTCTACGCGGAGATGCGTGAAAACGCTCGTTACGCCTTCCTGAATTCCTCGGTGTTCAGCGCCGGCCTTCCTTTGTCAGGGAATTCGCGGCGATCCTCGAGTTTCATCCTTCCCCCTCTCCTTGATCTTCGATAAAGATCTTCGAGGTTATTCTAATTCTCGGTTTACCTCTTTGTGTATACAGAAGTTAGTGTAACCAGAGCTGGTTTAATAGGTGCGTAGTTGGGTGAATATTTGGGGACGGAAATTTATTGTTTGACGATAATTTCTTGCGGTTAAAAACATTTGGAGAAATAGAAATTATTAAATGTCCTTTAAAGCGCTATTGGCTATGTTAGAGATTTAACTGGTTGTGTAGGTATACGCGGCGCAGGTGTGTACACGTGCCTATGAGAGCCGGTTGTAGCTGGTGATTAGACTCTATTGATTTCGGTTATAGATTTTGGTCGCAGAACCAGATTGCTCTATTCACGAAATTGAAAACGTGTTAATGTAATAGCTATTGTGATTTCAACGCTCTATACATACGTAGACAATGGAATTTCCATGCTTTCTTTTGCAATGGCTACGTTGGCAATAGGAATTCCGTTTCACGATGACAATTAAACCTATCTTTTACAACTCGACTAATCTCGCTAATAATAAGATTTCTTCAATTGGTAATAATTTTTAATAATTGTTTATAAGATATTCAATTTATCTTTTATCTTTTTCTAAGGATTTGATTTATTATTTTCACCTGTTGTAATTAATAATTACATTAGATATTGAAGTTATTCAAAATTTTCAAGGTAACAATGATGCACCTAATAATTAATTTAATTTAATAACAATAGCGTACTTTACGTTCTCTTAAATAAATTCTCTCTTAAATAAATTCATTTCCTATATAACCTTAAATTAAACTAACCCTTGATACCAGAGAAAAGAAACGGCCAAGAGAGCGTATGAAACAATGCCCTCTTCGTGGCCGAGGAGACGCGTCGTAAATCGCCAGAAGGAGGTCGAGAGAATCCTAAAACGATGATCCCTTTACCCTCGTGGCTCACGTAGAGCCCTCCCCGGGCTACACTCTCTTCCTGACTCGTCCACGAGAGAATGCAAATGGGTGAATTGCCGGCCGATAGACGCAATGCCAGGGGAGGGGAGGGGGCCAATCTTGGTGGTTCGCGCACGGCAAACAAAGTCTTTGTTTCGAGAAGACAGCGCGGCTGGAATCTTGCCACAGAACATTAACCAGCCAGCCCGGCATAACAGAGATCGTCGTAATGTTCCAGCGGCAGGGTTAGGTGCATAATGTGACGTAACGTAATATAATGTGAGGGGGAGGTGATGGAGCTGTTGCGCGGGGAGGGCGAGGCGAAAGAAGCAAAAGCAGAAAGCACGTGGAAAGACGGCGCTCGAGGGGAAACGGCACGGGGTGGATCATACGCTCGACGAGCAATTCCATGGTTACAGGAAGGTCAAAGGAATTTTGCCTTCGTGGCTCGAGAATTTGGTGGCCGACGCGATGTATCGTTTTTCCTTTTCTGAATCCTTCCGGTTATGATTACGGTTTCTCTTTTCTTTTCTTTTTCTTTTTTTTTTTTTTTTTTTGGTTTTAATCGATTAGTTTTTGTTTTGTTTTCGTTTTTTTTTTTTTTTTTTTTGGTCGAGCTGAAAGATTGAAGGAGCGTAGGGAGATGCAATATTTCCGTGGAATTTTCGAAACGAGATTTGCTTTGCGTACGCGTGTTTGGTTGGCGGATTAATCCATCGTAGTGGTGGCCTCTGTCCGGGCTGTTTCAAGGCAGATTTCGTTGTTCCGTACGATTTGAGCTGTGGCTTTTAACGTTAATAATATTGAGGGTGAATGGTGATTTAATGGCCAACAAAGGGTGTGTAACTATTGTTACGAATTTGTGGGGACAAAAGGCGTCTTTGAGAGAGATTCGAAAATTATATAAAGTAAAACTTATTCAATTATGATATTTGCATAGGGTGTTCATCGTAATAGTTTGATTTTTAAATCTTAATTTTAGGGAAAGTTAATCAACTAATTGCAGCAATAAAGATTTTAAAAAAGAAAAATTTTCTAAAATAATTGACGTCAAAACGAATTCAGTAAGTTATTGTATTATACTTTTGAAATTAAATTTAGAAATTCGAATTAATTTTGTGAAAGTAATAATTGGGGAAATTGTTTTAATTGTTTGTTTAATTGCACGTTTAATTCATAATTAATAATCAATAGTAATTGTCATGTACAAAAAGTCAAATATATCGTATTCAAATCAGAATAATTTGTCTCTATATATGATTTCAAAAAAAGATTAAAATGTTTTCTTTTTTAAGAAGTTGTTGGAAATGTTTGTTGTTCTTATTAATCACATATACATAATGTGCTAATGTGATAAAAATTTTAAAATTTTTCATGTCTCATAAGCCATATTCCTGAATTTAACTCATAAACTACAGGCAATTCCACAAAATCAAAAATAAATGGTACTATTTAAGAATATCAAGAGGATCTTGACTTCTCGTCAAATAAAAATTTTTTAAAAATTTTTATTGTTACAAATTAACTTCCAAATATTCCAAACTTTTATTCCAAACATTTCCTCGTAAAATTAATAAAAAAAGAAGAAGAAGAATTGCGACGAACCGAAGTAATAATCGTGTTGAAAAATTTAGAAAAAATTATAAGATTTTTCGAATTTTAAGATTTGAATAATCGTTTCCTTGATCACAACCCCAATCCTCACAATTCATTCGCTCGAATCATTTTCACAGCGAAGGGTAGCCATATCGTTTTCTGTTATTTTCATATTTCAAATTTCAATCTCGAAACACCCCTCCACCTCGTTCTCCTTACGTGTTCTCACACGGACCGAAACTTTTCGTGGGTTGTGACCTACACATAGGCACGCAAAATTGAACTTGGTACGAATACACACGGAAGTCGTGCTCGCAGGAACGTATTCGGAAACGTTGTTGTGTTTGTACGACACGCTAACTCGATAAAGCGTACAAGCTGAGCCGGCGTTGCGTAGGAACGAATCAGGAGAGTTTAGAGGCCTGTACCTAGGTCTTAACCACGCTCTCGCTACGCAGAAATATTGGAAATGCGTGGACTAAGTAGGCCATGGAACGCGTTTATTGTGAATCTATAGGGTGGTGAACAAATAATGTGCTCTTATTTCACGAGCATTAATCTGACAGTCATATTTTTTAAAATTCAAGTATATATATATATATATATATATCATTTTTCTATTTATTAGGGGCTTTAATTGAAAATCTTACATAATATGTGAAAAAATATTTTAGTATGAAATAATCAATGCGTATGATTATTGCAATTTTTTTGTTGTATTAATATATTATGAGAAAAGATTTCGGTTATTCTCAGGTATAAAATTTTGATCGAAATCTAATCTGAAATATTGTTTGAAATAGTAATATTAATTTTTATGTTGGAATTCCAAGATACTTTAAATATTAAAATGTTATAGGTTAAAAATTTTAGAGATATTAGATAAGAGCAAAATCGTGAACTTTTTGCAACATCTTTCAAAGTAATCACAATAGCAGTTAAAAATTAAAGCTAAGTAAGAATATTAAAAAAGAATCATTCATAAAATTCGATGGACCTATATTTAACATTTTTTTATTTATCAGAAGCTTTGATTTTAACTGATTAGATACTATTTTAATTTATAAAATCCACTATTTCCATAATTTTCATGAAATACTCATGAAAGATAAAAATATTGAAATCATCCCCATACGAAACGATTTGAAAGTTTTTGAACAGTTTGATTAACATTTGCTCGTTATTATTTTCCCATTCTTGTTCTATCTTTCAAATGTAAAATCCTCGTCGCATTTATTAGATACCAATTATTATTACAAATTGTCATATTTATATTTAATTAATTCCTTAACAATTATTCCTCGATATTTTATCCATAACGATGGAAACTGGACAAATAATACCTTCAGCAAGCATATTATTCACAATAACATAAAATTATTACGATTACAACTCAAATTCCGTTTCCACGGATAGAAAAATTTAAATCAATTTCATTTCCTCCGACAACCCTTTTTTACCCTTATCCTACTTCTACTCCAAGAAAATCGAGCGATATCCGCGAGGAAAGAGAAGAATTCTTACACACACACATATACACATACAGAACTTCGAGGGAGGATCGCGATAAACGAAGAAAGGGGTCGAACAATCCATATATGCAGATCCGAGATTTGCAAGGCGGCCAAGGCTTCGATTCCGGGCTCCAAGTTATTATCACATATATTAGACAACTGACCTCCCCCCCGCCACCTCTCCCCTATCACTATACGTCGGCTCGCGTGTGTGGCTGCCGCACCCTCCCCTCTTCTGCCAGATACAATATCGTGCCGGTTGAACCGCGCGGTTATGGTAAGAACCCTTTATTGTTTTATATTGTTTCCAGGCTGCCTTTATTATATGGCCAGGCCAACCTCCTCCTCCCCTCTCCTTCCACCCTTCTTCCTCTCCCCGCCATGGAAGGAGAATCAAAATAAAATTGCCCGCGCCGGTATTATACGAAGGATTAGGGGATGCTAGGATCTGGAGCAAGGCGTGGGACGGTAATGCACCAGGGGACGACGTGTGCTCTCTCTCTCTCTCTCTTTCTCTGATCGATTGTAATTTTGATTTTTCGTCGATTTGAAATTATATTCAACGGATATATATCCAATGCTCGAAATATCGTTGCATTCAATTAATATCGCGTGGATATTGGATGTAGAAAGGCAGTAAGAGATGTGGACGCGCAAGGACGTGATAAATTTTTCTAACGAATAATATTGTGAAGATAGAACAAGAGAACGGCGGTAAAATATAAATATTTTAACCAAATTATTTATTGCAATTCGAAGCACGAGCGAATTCGAAGCAGGAAATTCGAATATTAATTTCGGAGGGGTAGTTCTTAAATTGAGCGGCTCGTAGAAATACGTGTATCTATTAACGGGTCGATTTTATCGTCGGAGACGGGTGTGATAAAGGGCCGATACGAGGGAAAATTGACAATAACCGCGTTGTGGCGTCACGCTCGTTGTTTCCATAACGAAACATAACGCGGGAGCTCGTGAAGTGGTTCCTCGAAAAATGACAATGATTATCGAACATTTTAATTACAATATTTACACGCCTATCAACGCGGACAAAGCTGTTTGTCCGCGGCACGCTTGGCCCCTGCAAACGGACGATTACAGGTCGATCATCAGCCGCTCGTTAATGGACGCGTGGGCATTCGGTGTTGTGCGGCTTCTAATGGCTGTTTAATAGCGTAAAGTCGCGTGTAAAATATTGGCCATTCCACGTTTGTCGTCGGTGATGGAAATTGATCGAAATTTGGATCCTTCTTTGATCTTGTCCATGTTTCTTAAATGAATAATATTGCAATTTATCGATTTAAAATTCGAAGCGACTGGTTGAACAACAATTATAATATGCATTGAAAGTATTTTTAATATTTGTTGTAAAGATATTTTTCTAGGCTTCCATTGTTTTCGTATGTTGATACAATTTTCTTACATTTTCTATTAGTTTTTGAAACGATCAAACATCGGCAACAAATTTATTCCTTGTCGCTTGCTTCATTTTTAAAAATTTCTCCACAATTTTATTCTTCTCGATAATTTAAATGACGCGATATATTTTGAAGAAAAATTATCCAACATCTCTCTCTTTCGTCCCGTGTGAAAGAGAGCGTCGAAGAAAACTTGTTGTAACGTAAGCGAATATACACGGTTGAAAAGATTTCTTCCTCGATCGATCGATCATTCCGCGCGTCTTCCGCTCGCAACCGCAACCGCGCAAAAATCGCACGCACACGCGTACGATTCACGGATCGCTCGTATTTATCTTGCGGTTTCGTTCGTGGCTTATTTAAATATAAATTACAAGCGCACGCGGCTTACCTCGCCGATTATCCGTTCGACGATCTCGAAGACGTTCGATTCGGTGATCGAAGGAAATCGAGATTTATCGTCCCGTGATCATAATTGCAAAGGGGCGAAGTGTGATCGACGATTTCGTGTGTACACGTGATTGGAGATGGGGAGTCATCACCCCTTTTCTGTGCCCCCCCATTGGATAACGATCATTATGCGATCGTAATGGCGTGAGATTGTCGGCCCATGCTCGATCCACTTGTGTAAATCCACCACACCCGTTCTATGGATTGTGAGCACAGCCACTGTTCGCCCACTTTCGATGTATCAATTTCTCGGAAGACACCACCGACCGACGTAATAATCTGCTCGGGTATGTCGATCGATATCGATCCTCGATGTTGCGATGTCATTGTGCAAAGGATTTCGTCGTGTGCACGATCCTTATTTAAATTATATGTTATTTTGAAAGATCGAACTCATAATTATAGGGAATTTTCTTGAATTCTGTTGAACAGTCGTTAAAAATGTTTTTGACGATTTTTAACTTTCGTAAGAAATCGTTCTCTTGTGATATTTTCGCGACATATTTGGTCGTTTAAAATTGAATTTCGAGAAATCACTTGAATCGTCAAAAATCTTTTTACTCCCCTCATATTTATTCAATATTATTAATTAATATTCAATGACAACTATGTACAAAACGTCATTGAAAAGTTTGTCATGTCACAATTTAATATTAAAGATATCATAATATACTCTCTCTCTCTCTCTCTCTTTTGTCACGGGCATTCTTGCGCGTGAGCGAGTGAATAAGCAAATAAAATCGAAGGTATGCCGGCCGATTATTGTGCGCGCTCGTTGATACGCGGCCGAAACGTAAGCTTTGTTCTAATAACGTTTAATTTACTTTGACTGGTTCTAAATCGTCGCAAATTACACGGGATTGCGGCCGCGTTGCTCGCGGTTGAAACCGGAATTCCAAACGTCTGAATCCCCCCTCTCTGCAAGTGATACGTTCAAAGATGCGTTTTCCAGCGTGAGCGCGATCGATAGCGAACGATAAAACATTCCTGGTTGAAAATGTATCG